TTGTTTTTATTTGAAAACCTTATCACATGTAAAAACATTCACGTGTGCATATGATTCCAACTAAGGCCCCGTTCACATGGAGACGAAACGGATTTTGAACCGAAGTCGATTTCCAAAAAGTCTTCCGTCCACACGGAATCGGCTCAAGAAACGTGTCCGTCCACACGAAACCGCTCGAAACCACTGGAGACGCTGTAGTACATATGCCGGGCCTGTAAGTGGCGCTGTACTTCCGCCACAAAATACACAAAAAGCAGCGAATAGGACCCCCCAAGCATGTGCATAATGCATAAACAAACAAACAAGGTAATAAAAGGTAAAATCTGTATCATGGTCAGTAGCGTCTGGAGCACGAACGTAACCCTGTGATCCGCCATTGTTGTTGGCGAAACGCATCAGCAATGACGCGGGGGGGAGCAGGAGAGGCGGGGCTATGAACGTATATAGGGCATATACGGAGCTGCAAGCGTTTCGTCTCCAGACTTACCCACTTTGGGAGCCGTTTTCAAAGTGTATCGGTTTCGGGCTCCGAAGCCGCGGCTCCGTTTCGGCTTCGTGTGGACAAACTTTCTATACGATAAAGAACTTTAGCGGACACAACTGAAATCGTGGCCTAAGAGCACAGCTGAGTTTCTGTCCTGACATTCGAGACTGATTTTTCGTATTCTGAATTAAATCTCATTAAAAAAAAATAGAAATACTTTGGATTTGGTTACAAGCTGTTGGAAAGAACTAGATTTTTCTGTGAAAGGTCTATCTATAGGGCTTAATATTTAATAAGGAACACAAACAGAATCAGCTTGACATTCAGTAAGTTCAGAACAAGTGAGGGCTTGTTGACAAGTTTAAATGAAACCATGTAGCTGACAAGGTCAAGTTGACTCCTGTTGGATGTTGATTAGGTGTTAAAATGAATTATTGAATCGATTGACATTTGCTTCGGTTATTTACTTTTTCAAACAAAAATGCAAAACAACGTCTACAGGTAATTATGACATTGTGAGGTTTTGCTGCTTTTCCTTCTTTTATATCATTTTAAATTGAAAATCTTTGTGTTTTTGACAATTGGTTTTACAAAAGAAAGCAATTAAAGAAATCACACTGAGCTGTAGAAAATTGCTGCGAAGGGTCCTGTTTCTTGATGTATCAAACAATTACTTAATTAACAATGGATGGATAATAATTAAAACAAATAATTGCAAGTTGTCTAAAAAACCTTTTTTCCCAGTGACTATTACGTTTGTAACTACATGCTAGGGTCCACAACTTTAAGTGGTCATTTTCAAGAAAAAGATGGAGCCAAAGCAACAATATTGTTTTGTTGATGGTTTCCTATATTGTCATGTGGCGCAGTGATGCTTACTGCTGTCACCTGCTGTGCAGCTTTATGCCAGGCTGAATTGCTTTCTGTTATGCTGTCCAAGCCTTCTTGAAGCAGTGACATTTGATGCAATAAAAGAACTTATTTTAGCAGCCACCGTATTTCTCTCTTCTTTCTCAAATAAATACCCATTTTGTCCTTTTCCCCTCAATTTGCTGTCACTGCTGTCCTGTATGTATCACCTCTCTCTTTTATCTCTCACTCTTTCTTCCTCTCTTCTCTTTATCCAGCATCTTCTGGGTCGTTGTGATGTGAAAGGAATGTGATATGGATTTGATTGCAAGGGGAACATCTAATTCGAAGGCAACATTTTTCTCTCAGGCTGCACAGGAGTTTGTTCGTTATTTGCTGGCAGAGCCATCCCCCAAATGTGTCCATAGCTCTACACTTAAGTGTCTGTATCCTGGAACTTAACACAACATATTGACTGAGGGAGCTTGTTGGGGACACTCCGCAGGCTGGGTGTAAGTGCTGCTCGAAACTCTCCAGCCAGGGCAAACTTACTCTAAAGCATCTATTCCTCCTGGGAAAGTCCAAGCAAGTGCTCACACATGAAATCACCTGAAGGCTGAAAAGGACTGGGTTGATGGTAAACGAAATCCCTGTCAGTCTATCCAGGTATTTACATGGAAATGCAAGAATTAATACAAACTCAACCAATCCTGTTATTATAGCATTACATTTTGCTCTTGTCCCTGCAATACATACAGGTATGCCTCAGATTAATTTATTGGAATAATACTTACACAAGTTCCTTCAAAAGAAGGGGTTCAATACACATGTTTTAAACAGTCCAGAAATGAAACCTTTAAAATAGACTAAGTGTATTATTTATTTGTTTTGCCAAGCGTTTTTATTATGGCTTTTTTGCTCGTTAGACGTTGTACCATAAATTATAGATTCTGCTCATGCCATTAGCACCAACCTTATCCAAAAACATGTTTTTCATCCTTTTCAGGCGATCACTGTTTCATACCCCTGTGGTTTGATAAACAATTCGCAGAGAATTGAAATTAAGTCTGGAATGCTTAATCTATCACATTCTAACTGCTGTTGTTGTTGTCAAAGTTATTTTATCCCTTTGTTGTAAGTGCAGATTGATTTGGAAAACCAGCCGACAGACACAGTGCTTGCACTGATGAATTTTCAAAATCAAGCTAGTTTCTAGTCAGTGATTTTCATAATGGGCTCAAAAAAGCAGAAAGCACATCATGCCTGCAAGATGGAAAAGACAATCAAAACTCTGTGGGATGCTTTGGAAATGTTTTTCAATGGCCTCGCTCAAATATGCTGTATCACTGTTAGGGTGCTTAAGGACTAAAAGCGTCTGAAACAGGACTGTTCAAGCTAATGTTACTATCACTGGAACAAAAGATGCACACTGCAGCACAATTGAAACAAACAAACACTGCTAATGTTATCATTATGTCGGCTGTCTAAACCCTCTGCGGTGGAAAGGCCTTCAGTTTTTCCTGCTTGGTTTGACTGTATTCAAATCATAACAGCAAACCATTTCTCTAAATGAATTATTGCTCGTAATTGTTTCAAGGAGTTTTCTTATTAGACAAATGACTCCAATAATCTTTCACGGATAGCAATAATGTCATTATATTTTGAGTCACATTTGCAGTTAAAGGATGGAGGTGGCATTCTGTCCACATTAGCAGGTTAATCATCTTAATTCTACTGTACCGGTAATTGTTCATGCTAAGACTTAGGATACTTAGGATGGAAATTGAAATTACACACTGGTTATGGCTATCATCCTACAGGGTTCCACAGATCAATTTCAATGTGTTGATTGGAAGCTGAACCCCCATGCGTTTCAATGGGAGGCCGTCACTTCTGATATCCTGTGGCGACTACATTTCTTATTCCTTAACTATGTAGAGACATGCATTAAACCATCCACCCTCTGAGACTCCGCCTGTGACCCCGTTAGACTGTAAACACACTTCAGCCAATGTAGACAGTTACATCATTTGTTCCATGCTGAGTTTTTTTTATTAGCCGGCCACCTCTCCCGCAAAGCGCTGCCGCGCATTCGCCAATGGGCTGGTGGCAGGCGAAAGAATATACAAAATAAAAAAGACAAGACACTCTGTCGTCTGTAAGGAAGGGGGATATTTTATCCCAGAAGAGTTGGCTCAATTCCCTGTGTGGGAACCTGTTGCCATAGCAACGGGAGCTGGGGGTTTACGTCAGGTAGGGTCAGAGGTAGAAGATCATGGGATTAGAAAGGGGTCAGAAGGAGAGTGCAACCTCGCTGACACCGTCATCGACCTCAGCTTCCTCCACACTCCAACTCACGCCTCCTTGCCCTCAAATAAAGGCCAGAGGGACCACCCTCCCCCCCCTGCCCTTCATGCCTGCATTCATACCGGGGTCACACGCAAAAAATCAACTAGCTCACAGAGTGTGGGATTGTATACAGGTCAAATCGCTTTATGCTCTTCGCTTGGACACATGCCGATTTTCATTTATTTCAATTTGCACGCCTTCAACCACCAGACCTTATCTTATTTCCCTTTTTTATTTATTTATTATCCCATCTTAAGACACATTTCCAGCTTTTTCCCATTTCCTGCCTTACATAAACACACATTTTTTCTTCCTGACACACTTGCTTCCAACACACTAGGTCTCAAATGTGCGTAGTCCTCCATCTGTCCAGTACTTTCTCAGTCTCCTCTTCTAATTCTATTAGACTGACTATTCAAATTGCCAGTCTAACAAACCACACACTCTTCCAGTGTGCATCCTTCATAGCAGGAGCTTTGGCTCATGAAAGAGTAAGACCTTGAAATTCAGATCTCAGGGGGAGTTTCCAAAACACTTGGGATGCACAAAGAATATCGGCAAATATTGAGAAATGTAAATGATGAGATATTATTCCTGGAAACCAATGATACAAACGTGCTTTTCATTGACGCAACATCGACACTCTCTATTACAGCAGGTGGTGGTATGCACCTTTTTAAGTTTTCTAGCTTTCCGCCAATAAAAACGGAGTAGAAGAAGAACAAGATTGAAACAAGTTGTCGCTGGGGCGTGGACGTTAATCAAAATGTTTAGAGTTGGACCAGAGAATATAGATTTGTGTACTTAAATAAAATAAACAAATTCACATTTTAAGAGTAGGAACTGTTTTTTAATGTTGCTGTCAAGAGCTATGGATTCTTATTTCACCCATCTTTGATCACAAGGTCTCACTACTCTTTCTTTACCTCAGGTGTAAACAAACCACAGGGTATACACTTCTTTTTTTAAATATGAATCCGTTATCTTAATGGTATCTGCCATGAGAAGCAGGTCATTTTGGGTTATCAATATAGGCTGAAAGAAATCCATATGGTGCATGCCTAGAAAACACAGAGAGGCTAGTGTTGGTGTTTCATCACGAGGAACAATGCTATCTGTGCTAAAGTGCGACTGTGTCATCCTTCTCTCTGAGTCAACGTACGACTGATCTTACTGGCAAAAAGACCCCTTATCGTCCATACCAGGGGAACAGTTTTCACTTGTGTGTGTGTGAGAACAGGTGGCATTATCTGTCACCTGGGCAACATGTGAACATTTAACACTGATGGGATCACTGTGGATTTTTTTCCAGACTCACTTTTGACCGTGGCCGTCCTGGTGCAGTTGTAGAGAATAGCCAGCTCTCCAAACACCTTCCCCGGTCCCATGGTGCACAGCTTCATGCTCTCCTTCGTCACCTCCACCTTCCCGTCTGAAACATGCAAAGAAATAAAGGTACACCATTAAGCATAATTGTATTCAAATGTTACCATTCATTTGCCCGCCTGATTACCCAAGTGTGTGTGTCCTCTTCTACATTCATTAAGTGTGGCAAACAAAGTTTCAGTGTTAAAATGGATTGGATGATAGGTGTCTGAGGGCTTATGCCCCTTGACTCACTGAGCTGGGAAAAAATAAGATTGTTTTACAATGTGGAGTTTCCAAGGATTACTAGCCTCCTTCCAACCATGTGCGTGGCCCTGTTAAAGAAAAGCAGCAATGTGACATATAAAGCTTTAAACTCCCTAACTCACAGACACCATATGGTATGCCTTAAGATAAGGGCTGTTAGCTTCAAACATTCTAAAAAGTGTTTTCAAATATTATTCCATTGGTAAGGATTAAAATAGTCACCATTGAGATATGTTTTCAAAGTAGACATACAGTACATGTGCCTTGAAAAAAATCACCTAGCATTTCTGGCTTATAAAGACCAAACATCTTCCAATAATAATTCACTTCTTTTGATCCTATTATTCTAACATATTCCAATAACAACAGTAGGTATTAGCACAAGTGAGTACTGTGGCGAAAGCATAGCAGAGAAAAGGAAATTAAATCCTCTTCAAACCACTTATCGTTGCTCTGCTTGTCAATGTTGGATACATGCAAATTATTGTATGTGTGTTTCACGGATGTAGAAGCTTGTTAGCAATATGACCAGGATCAAATTGATTTCCATGTCCTAATATCTTCCAGATTTTTCACATTCTGGTTTGCTTAACAAGCTTCTTATACTTTTGTTACATCACATTATGCTCCTGATCCATACGAGCATTAACGAAACACACACATAGGTGTCTGTACAACGCCTTTGTACATTACTTATGTACATCCCATAGAAGCAAAATTCCAGTTGAAACATATGAAGCTCTTGGGATTGGCTGTTTTGTTTAAGAAAGCTTTATCAAGAATGTGTACTTTCTTCAAAAATCAGCATTCCAGCACGACCATACCTATGATTCACAGAGAGCCAAAAGCCAAAGGAAACAGATGACGTCAGATCCAGGATACTGATGAAATACGGCCAGATGATAACAGCATGCAAGCGATGCTCAGAGGAAACTGTTTGACAAGTTATCTTATTAGAGAGGGGTCGTGAACTCTTTGACAAAATAGCCTCCAAAACACGTAAGAACTAATTGTTTTCTACACTTGGAACTCCTGCACCTTTTCCGCCTTGTTTGACAATACATCATCCATTAACACCGAGCTTGAAGCTTCCACGTAGAGAATATATTCAGCTCTTACAGCGTTTCCCCATCTAACTTCTACCTCAGTGCAGTTTTCCCTGCATATGTTTGACAGCCTTTTTACCCGTCTGGGCTTCCTGCAGAGCTCCCTATCTATTCCGTGGAATGGGAAAACGTTCAGGAGTTAAACAATGCATTGCTTGTGCATCTTTATTTTCAGCTTTTTTCCCCTCACACAAGCTCTCTTTATTGATTTAAAGCAAACACAATAAATGTCTTACATATCTCTCCCCCAAATAATCAGCAGACGACTCATTTCAGGAACTTGTTGAGTCTGAATCTGCTCAAAACAGAATCAGTAACTATGCTAAACTCAGTTCTCTATTGCAGTTTCACATATTTCTCATTCTATTATCTATTTCACCCTAACAAGCTCCTATTTCTCGCTCTCTTGAGCATAACATACAACTTCCTCTACATCTCAGGACTTGTCAGGAAAGAGCAAACCCCTGTTGCTTTTTAATAAGAACAACTGTAAAATGTTCTGTGAACTGAGTAAAGCTGAATTATCTGTCAATCTAGCCTTACAATTCTACGTCTACAAAGACTTTAATTATTGAACTCATTATGCTGCGAGCATTACATCTGGAGAATGGCCATTGAGAATGGATTGCGCCTAACCAATAAGCCGGACTAAATGGCGCACAGTGGGGGGGGGGGGGGTGGCGGTTGTGATGATGGTGTGGCTCATCATCTCTAATAGCCCTTATCAGAAACTATTAAACCTAGGTGTAATAGCTTGAAAACAACCCAGTGTGTATAGAGTTCATGTTGATCTCTGAGTAGTGAAGACTGCCTAGCACTAATTAAAAACAATATTTGAAGTGCATATTGAGCAAAATGAGCATAGCAAACATCTTTGGGAAAGAGTAGCAACATGAACTTTAAAGAAAAAGAAACAAAAAAAGTGGCCGCAGTGACAAACAGATACAAATAGATGTAATATGTTTCTGTATCAATACAGAGATAATATCTGCCCTATTCAAAAGGACACAAGGCAACCATCTTCATTTACTGCAATGAAAGGCCTTCTGAGATTTAATAACAGCGCTGTGTGGTGATGGTGAATGGGTTCATGTAAGGACAAAGAAAACCACACATCAGCTAGCAAAAACTTTACCCCCAACTATGGACGAAGCTAATTTCCTGTGGTTGTCCAGGTGATTAATCCCTGACAGAGGTGAGCAGTTGGAGCCCAGCTGCTGTTTGGGATGACTTGGGCTATGAGGGAATTGCTAGGAAATTAATTAAGCACATTTCTATTTATTGGATTCCAACCAATGGTCTTTTTTTATAAAACTGTCATCCAGAAGTTCTTATGAACTGACGCCATCACATTGTCCAGCTCATTTCCTGTTTTTGTTCCCAATATGTCTTGGCTTTAATACTTATTACAGTAGCTCCACGTTCTCTGGTAATTCATCTCTGCTTACATATGCACGCAAAATTCAAATGTTATTCAAAATACTACAGGCAAATTAGCAAACACATCAATGAGGAACTGCTAATACATTCCAAATAGATGCAATACGGCGTGTATAATGTTAACTGCTATTAAGGCTTTTCCCTGTCAGTGTCTCGCAGCAGGTTTGTGCCCCTGAGGCAGTGTAGATGTGTTAATGGCTTATCATCTGAATGCACACAGCCATTCGCTCTTCATTACAGGGCACTGGGACAGACCTCGAAGCAGACTTCCCTCTGGCTCAAGATCAGATATGATTCTGGCTGCATTTCAAATCAATAGGCCGCGTACTTTTGGGTTGCCGTTATCTCACACTCGGGCTGAAGACATATAAAACAGATTAAAAAACGACCCGAATGTGCCCCTACTAACCCTTAAACAGGGGTTATTTTATATAATCCTCTGTGATGTGGAAGATATCTAACTAAATAAAAAGTTATTTATATCTCTCTCTCTAAACCTTATGGCTACAATTACCCGGTTAGATTAGAGATAGAGGAATTCTTTAATAAGTCTACTCAATTTTGGCTTTGTAAGCTGCATGTGACACAAGCTTCTCCCAAAAAAATGTGGATAAAAGGACATTTGTTGATTTCCACATGGAGTCTTGGCCATTACTGAGGCCATTATGCTGTGTCTATAAATAAAGTGGAGTTTTAGGGGTCAGGCACAGGATGCTGTTTAATTCTCCCTCCTCTTCTTTCATCGATAGTTTATGTTTGTCAAGCAGCACAAAATGCATATAAAGAAACAGGATGTGTGGGAAGCTCAAGATCCCTAAAGGATAACACGTAACCACCATCCCATCTTTATAGGCCTTGTGCTTCCGGTGCTGCTCATTGGTCTGATTTCCCGATTAAGTGCCTATCTGTGAGAGCATCACACTGATAGTAAATCAAGCTGAGCATGGTTGCATCATGCTCCCACTGACAAAGGAAAGGGTATCATTACCACTGGAGGTTTTTGGTGGAACACAGCTAGAGTTGGCACTTTGCTAAAGTGACTTCAGGTTGGCAATGATATGTCTGTCACCTCCTGTCTGATTCTTGGAGGAAAAGGCCACGGGAGAAACGAGACTGAAGCTGAAATCTCTTTTTGTCGAGCGTGGGATCTATGCATAGGGGACGGAAATGGATTCAGAAATGTCCAGGGTTTAAAAACGACCAACTGCCCTTTTATTGCTTTAATACAAAATATGTGGTTTGAAAGATATTATATATTGCAGCTCATTCAAGTTTGACAGCCTTTGACTCTGCATGTGCACTGAGCAGTTATTTGCGTTTTCACCTTGCTTTTCATAGAACACAATGTGACCTCTCAAAAACACTTCCAGCTAAACAAATATTCATAGCTGCCCAATCATGAAGAATGAGATTCATGAATCAACCCTACAGGACATCAGAAAATGAAAATAAACTGAATAGATTACAGAATGAATGCAGCTTCTCTGCTTCACATACTCAGTTGAAAGCTCTTACAACAGCTGGACGTTAACATTTGAGTTTGAGGTTAATTAATGACTTATTTGTTTTAAATGACTCATTGGTCATTCATCCTGATCACAGAACATGGTTCAATAATGAAGACAAGCTGTTCTGCAGCATTATTTTCCTTCCTGTTAAATACAAAAAAAACCTAGAGTGTGAGAAAACAAGAAGCCAGAAAGAAGAACAAAAACAAAGAGAGAGATTTAGACCTTTGCTATGTTATTAATCAATGAGGCTGGCTCAGAATGGGACAGGCTTGTATTAAGCCTAGAGTCTCCTGGTACTGAAATTGACAAACACTCAAGCTTGTTGCTTCAGAGAATCCCTAGGTGTATACAGTACGTACAGGAAAACAAGCAGCAGAGTGATGCATGGAAAGCAGTGTGTGGTAGAGTTGGGAAATGCAAATTGTCCGTTATTGTCAGACAGTGAGTGCCTGTCTCCCAGCGATGTTCCGTATATTGCATTTCTGACTGATAGCAAACTCAGAGTGCAACGTAGCTTTGTAACGGCTAAATCTGATGCTGTTTACAACCTGTACCACACGCTGTAGGTGGCTGCTAGGAGCTGAACCGTATGTCTTAGTTTGTTTACATGTGAAAATTGTTCTTTATTGAATAAAGCTTAGAATATCTGTCTTCATATTTTTTTATGTTGTTGGAAGGTTAAAAGCCAGCTCATATGGATTGGAGCAAGAATATTTCGTAAAATAAAAAATAATTCCTTGTAA